AAGTAATGGCTGTGTCTAACTGGTCTGAATAACTTTTGCATTTGGATCGTGAAACCTCCAAGAATCCCACGCTGTTTTCTCCATTCATGTTTAACCTCAGATTAATTCTGTTTTAGCAAGGACTTTATTTATGCTCCTGGCCTCTCCCCTCCCCCCAGCAAGCGAAGCCAAGCCTGGCAAGATAACTTACTGATCCACAAGGCAGATCTCGGAGGCCCCATGGTGAAAGCCTCACCACCCTCCTCTAATTAAGAGAACTTCAGCAAGAATGCGTAATAATTAGGTTACAGGACGGCTTTCAGGCTACAGCATCTGCTTTGGGGGAAGGGGGAGGTCCCAGTGCTTTGGGCCGCCTCATCAGCCCCCTAAATCAATGCGGGCATAACCCACCTCCCCATCATCAAAACCGACCCTGAGAAATCTGCAGGACATCAGAGCACATTGAAAAAAATCTGTAGTGCCTTCTCTGGGAGAACCACCCACAAACTCTGACATTCCAGCACCCCCCCCCACCCACCCAGCCCCCAAGTTCTTCCAAGGACAAGTTACAAATTGAAGATTGTTTTGGAAAAACTCGTTCTTTCTGTTCTCTGTTCTGGTTTAAATTGATCATTTTTTAAAGCAATCTGTTTCTGCTGTTGCTTGTTTAGGAAATTAACCACTGATTTTTTTTAATCCAAAGACGATGTAATGATTAAGAAAATGGGTTTCATGTGAGTGGCATCTTAAAGTACCATTGGATTTTGGGTATTCCTGCAGGGTTTACTGAAACAGGTTCTTGGCTTAAGGATGCTAGGAAACAGATTGAGGGTTTGGCCCAGAGAGGGCTGCAGCAGACCAGGGTGGGGGTGTTCGCACGGGGTGCCGGGGGGTGGGGGGGCATGGAATTCTCGCTGCAACACCCAGCAGTGAAGACATCACGGTGATCGGAAAGGGTCAGTGGCCTTTTGTGAGCCAAAGGGCGTGGCATGAAAGATCTATGATTTCAAGGCATTCTTTGATCAGAAGGGCTGGGTCAAGCAGTGGGTCCCCCACCCCAACCCCAGTCTAAGCGGTACTCAGGCCTTGCATCCACCAACCAGGTAGCATGTTACGGCGCCTTCAGAGGCAGCCCACGATGAAGGCCTTCGCTGCAGATGTATTTCACATTCATTAACGCCGAGTCCCCACCAGATTTTTCTTTTTTTTTTCCCCTTAGTTTCTCAGTCTTTTCAAGCCTGGAAAAACATTTTCTTCTTGAATAAAATGGTCTGGCCTGGGGTAACACTGTGTTGCTTAACTCCTGGGACAGTGGTGCTTTTCTTGGGTTGTTCCAGACTTTTCCACCTCCGTGCAACTCACTTCTCTCAAGTGTCTTGAAAAGAAGTTGCAGCCGTCAGATAGGGAGCATATAAGCGGGTTTCAGGAAAATCTGAAGTAATGAGAATGCCCGAGTAAATGGGTAAGCTAATGGTTCTCAGAAATATCTGGGTGTCTTCAAGATTTTGTTTTTATCTTTTATTGTACAATCAATGTTTGAATCCCTTCTCCTTGAAAAAAATTAATTTCCCACATAATGCCAAAGTGCACTTTAACGGTGACCTCTAACCCTGCCTCTCCGCCGCCTTTTAGGTGTATGCACCTCTCCGAGGCTCGGCCTATCCTTACAGATATTTCTAAATATGAAAGTGCCCGTGGAAAGTATGTGGTAACGCTTTCTGTGTTTCTAATAAATGGTAATAACGCACAGAATATAGCTTCCAGAAAACTGATGCTTTCTCTCAATCATGTCTTGTGCCTGTGTTCACACACAAAGAGCTGGTCCATTTTTTTCCATTGCGTTTGGTTTCCCTCTTTGGGTTTCTAGTTTCTCATGGCGAAACGCTTTCCAACCTTTTGCTGTTTACAGACAATTCAGTAATCTTTTTTCTATCCCATGTTCACCTGGATGGACTTTTCTCCCAGGCAGAGAATGAGAAGTAGAATTACTGAGGACATTCCCTTTTCTTGTGTGTGTGTTTTTTTTTTAATCCAAGAAATCCATGCATGTAGTTTAAAACTAATATTCTACAAAGACAAGAATCATGAAAAACAGTAGGGCCCCCACCTTCCCCCACCCCTATGTCTCCTCCCCAACCCTTGAATCTCCTCCCCACCCCTCCCTCTGTCTCCCCCACCCTTCTCCCTCCCTCGCCCTCCTCAGCCAGCCCCACCCCATCTTTCTGCCCAGAGACAACTTTCAACTCTTGCTGACTCTCCGGGTACTCACCTCCACATTTCTACAAACCTGCTTTCGTGGCCCCTTCTTGATTTCTCTCTCCCTTAAGCATGCTCTCTGGCCTCCCGAAGTAGAAGATCCCAGCTGTCTCTTCTCACCTTGCACCACTGCACCCTGACAGCCTTCCTCGGTGCTCCTCGCAGCTTGGCCCTAACCGGGCATTTGCCTCCTGGCAGCCATGTGGACACTCTTCACAAAAGCCACTCAGTAACGATACTTCTGACCCGTGTGCGGGCCTGGGAGCTGACATCTGCCCTGAACGAATCCCCTCTGTGGATGAGTCTGAGTGGCACTTCTTGCTTCTGGTCTGGTCCCCAGAGTATTGGCCGTGGGTGGGCAGGGGCACCCCGTGCCAGGCAGGGCTGGCAGCCGTGCACGGAGGGGTGGCCTGGGGGCTGAGCAGACCTTTCCCCAGGCCACACGATGATTCCTGCCTTGGCCCTGAGAAGTTTGTTTTCCTCATTTTCTCGCCCAGAGGTCCAGCCAGCACTGGGAGGCCCTAATGAGGTGTCGTTCCTAACGACCGCATTCCTGGACTTGATCCTTCACAGTCGTGTGTGAAGCCAAGCTTGCCTGCCCGTTGCTTTTTCTCTCTTTTTTTTTTTTTTTTAGTCAAAAAGGCTTGGTGTCGGTTATTTTTATAATATAAGTAATATACCCTCCCCAAGAAAAATTCGAACAAGAAGCGTGTGGACTAGGGCCCCCGATCTCCTCTCCCAGCCATGCCCCCAAAGCCGCCTCTGAAGCAACGCTGCTCTGGAGACAGGTTACCTGGGCTCGAATCCCAGCCCTCGCCAGCGGGGTGGGCTTGGGCAAGTTCTCTCATCTGTACAGCAGGAAGATAACAGCTCAGCTCATCGGGCTTTGGGGGGTTAAGTGAGTGAATACTTACAAAGCAGCATAGGGAAGACACTTAACAGACGGCACCAGGGTTATCGCTGAGTCTCTTGCTTCTATACCAGCTTCTTAACTGGGCTCCACACTGAAGTCCCTTGGGGAGTTTCAGACACTCTTGATGCCTGAGCCCCAGCGCAACAATTCCTAGAGTGTGGCCTGAGATCAGAAGTTTAAACACTCCCAGGGCTAAGGGCCACCGTGCTATGTGTCTTCCACGTGCATCAGT